GGCAGGGGTTTGGAGTGAGATAGGCGAAGGGTCTCACAGTGCAGACCTGCAGGTCTCGCAGGTTGGTAGCCACGCCCACAGGAAGGTCCGCCCAAGGGGTCTGCCTTGCCACCACTCCAGCAGGAAGCTCCTCCCTATATGGAACTCCGCCTCCAAGGTCCCCTTTGAGCCAAACATAAACTCTAACTCCTCTGACGCACGGTGATGGCATTTTACCTCATCACTGGTTTCCAAGGCAACACAGACAAGAACCGGAGGACCGTCTTCGTGAAGGAGCTATTAGGAGCCCGTCGGCCCCGCTGCGTACGGTTCCAGACCCCAAGGCCTAGGCAGGATGCTGATGGGGGTGGGCTGTATGTGGGGTCCTCTTTCCACACCATACCCACCAGAACGTGCCTTTCCATCGCCGAGTCATGGGGACCTGGCGGGAAGCTGGCTGGGCTCACTCATATTACAGATACAGCGCTCCGTCAAACCGGGGGAGGGGTGGTCTGCCCTACTCCCACCGACCCCGTCCCTCTACCCTGCACTGTAATGGGGTCTTCGGGCGTTATTTGCTCCCCTCCAGCTGTGCACTCCCGCCTGGAGGTGGAGGGAGCGGTGGTGCACCTCTCCTCTCTCAGGGGTAGGGGAAGGGGCCCACCGGATGCTGATGGCTAGGTGGCTGGGCGCGCAGGACGAGCTGTGAGGCGATGCTGATTGACAGGTGGGTCGCGGTAGTGGGGTGCAGACCATTCGTTTGAGAACCCGGGGAAGCTCGGTTAGAGGTCTCGTCCGTCACAGACTCGCTTCACACGAAATCCCTCCCACCAACCCGCAACTTGGGGTGCTGCGTCACTCACGAAGGTGCGCGCTGGTGTGCGCGGGCGCGAGCTTTTGTACACCGGACACGAGCGCCGTGTGCATCGGGCTCTCGTGTGGGATTGTGGACCGCTGAGGGCTCCTTGGTCCCTGCCTGGCCCCTCCCCTGACCCCGCTGCAACACACACATATATATAGTACTCCCCCCTGCCCTGCAGGCAGGTCGTGATCTGCCTGCTGGGTCAAGGGCAGCTGAACTGTGGATGCCTGCCCAGCCCTGGGGAGCCTAAGCAAAGGAGGACAGAGCGGGACGGGGAGGGACACAGCTGTTTCCGGCTTCTCACGTACCAGCCACCTGTGGCCCCGCATCCAGAGCCTGCCGCAGGTGGTCTGTCACACTGTCACCTCCATCACTGCCACACACCCACAGCCACTGCGCCAGCAGCGGCTCCTCTGTGCCCTAGTCCAACATCCCTTCTGCCGGCTTTTTTTCCCTCCTTCAACCTCCACACCCCCCTGTTTGGCAGAGTGGACAAGAGCTGAAACTGGCACCCCCTGCCCACTTTAGGGATGCTCATCTCCCACTGGCTCTCTCAGACCTGCAGGGGTGGAGCCAGCTCACTGGGAAGGGGGTTGCAGTCACCATGGCAGGGGGTCTGCTAATCTCCAGCAGTCCCAGCCCCATCTTCAGCAGCTCTGTCCAAGACAGGTGATCCAGGCAGCACGTAGTACTTGTGAAGACCTGGACACCAATGGCCTTTCCTGGATGTCCAGGCTGTGGCTCTCCTACCTCTGTCCCCACCCCCCACCCCCCGCCTCACAGAAAACCTGCTGACCCACTCTCTATCTCTGGTCCACGGAATCAGAGGCTCTCTGACTTCCTGTGAGGCCTGGGAACCAGCCATTCCCTCTGGTCAGCAGGGCCAACCTTGTCTTGGGCCTCCCCAAAAGAGGAGTCCATTTGTGCCTGGCTCTGATGACAGCCATCGATAAGTGGCAGTGCTCCCCACATGCACTCACACCCCTGCACACGCACCCACTGCACACCTCCCACTTTTCCCACTCGCACACATTCCCCGTGCACGTACCTGGCACACACGCCTTGCAACACTTGCACATACCTTACACACCCCGGCATACTCACCTCACACACTCACACACACACTCGGGCTCCCTCATTCCCACTCCACAAGGAGAAATATGGAAATGGCTCACAGGCGGCTCCAACAGCAGCTGCTGCGGGACGCGGTCGCCGGAGGACGAGGATGCGGATGTGTATGCGGAGGATGCGGTTCCAGACGCTTCGCAGCCAGGGCGAGCCCAGCCAGAGGAGGGGCTGAAGCGGTGAGACCGAGGCTGCGGTTGCCATGGAAACACAGGCTGGAGGAGGGATCACAGCGTCTGCAGCCTGCCCTGCGTCCCCTCCCACAGCCTGCCCTGCATCCCCTTTCCCTGTCAGAGCCATGAGTGTCGCGCCATCAGACCTCTGCCCTAGGTCACCTACCCTCACACACACACACACACACATATACCTGACACACACGCACGCATGCCTACTCACTGCACGAATTCACACACTGTACATACATACATTGTTTTCTTTACTTTTTTTTTTTTTCAGAATGTATATGTGTTAGCCAAAGAGGGAGAAAGTGAGAAAGCACCCTCCATGGGGAATGGTCACCAGGCAACCTCTTCTCCTCCATTTCTCCCTTTTTTTTTTTTTTGGAGAGGTTTTTGCTATAGGGTGCACTCGCCAGAAAGACAGGGACAGAGACAGAAATCGAGAAATCACTCCCCAGGGGGGATGGCCACACTGCAATTCCTTCTCCTCCATTCTCCTCTCGGGATCCTGGGCACTCACACACACGCACCTGGTGTGAGTTTAAGCCACGGGGTTCGGGACTCAAACCATGGTTGACTACATGGGAGTCCAGCGACATAGCCATTATGCCAACTGCTGGTCCCTCTCCCTCCTTTTTGGCACACATTCACATGCGCCTGGAGTTTTTTTCAAGCTGCTGGGTCCAGGACTCAAACTGTAGTCAGTCATGTGACTACTCAAACTGTATTCAGCCACCTTAATCACTGTACCACAGACTGGCCCCGCACCCAGACACTCACACCTACTGACATGCATGTGTACATACACACATACACACACACACACCTACCTCCTCACTGCGGGTGTGGATAGACACTCTGAACAGCTGAGCCCTGTTTGCTCCTTGGCCTAGGAATGCCCAGGACCTCAGTGATGGCTGAATGCTCAGATTTCTTTTCTTGTCTTTTTCCCTGAGTTCCCACCTGTCTTAGTTCATTATTGAGAGATTGTGGTTGGCCATTCCCCCTGGGGGCTGATTTCTTGCCTTCAGTCTGTTTCTCCAGTGAGCAGATGCAACTTATAGCAAAAATCTCTCTCTCAAAAAGAAAGAAAGAAAAGAGGTAAAATAGGCAATTTGGGGCCAGCAGGTGGTACAGTGGTTAAGACACTGGATTTCCACATGGCCAACCACGATTCAATTCCCAGATCTGGCAACTCGAAACTCATGCCGGGCACATGTGCATGTGTGCCCCAAATCCCAGGAGAAAGGAAAAGAAGGGACTGCAGTGTGGTCATCTCCCAGGGGGAGAGGGGGAGTGATTTCTCATTTTTTCTCTCACTGTCTCCAGTGAGCACATGTGCCCTATGACAAAAACCTTAAAAAAAAATAGGATTTAATAAGTCACAGATCTACTGGCATGAAAGTCCCAGGCATCACAAAATGGTGGAAGGCAGAATTTTTGGCAGAGCATGGTCTTGCAATAGGCAGTTAGCTAGAAATGAGTGGGCAGCCCTAAGAAAATACCAGAGGAGGGAACCAGCAGTTAGCGTAATGGCTATGTTGCTGGACTCCCACGTAGTCGACCGCGATTCGCGTCCCGGACCCGGTGGCTTAAAATTCACACCGGGTGTGTGTGCGTGCGTGCCCAAGATCCCGAGAGGAGGATGGAGGAGAAGGGATTGCGGCGTGACCATCCGCTCTGTGGGGTGATTTCTCGCTTTCTGTCTCTCTGTCTCTCTCTGTCTTTCTGGCAAGCACATGTGCCCTATAGCGAAAACTTCTCCAAAAATAAATAAATAAATAAAAATTAAAAAAAAAAAAAGAAAAAAGCAGAGGACATCGGCCTCACAGATCACAACTCACACATGCATTTCTGGGGGGGGACATTCCGTCACTACCCACTAAAACTAAATTCCAAAACTAAGACTTTGAGAGACAAACTGTGTTCCAAACCACACCACCACCCTTTTGGGGCAGCTGAGGTCAGTCATGGCTGGGCGTGGCACCCATTCTCCCAGAGGATGGCCTTTTTCTCATGTGTCAGCATCTGGATCCCCTGGGCTAGGAGCTTTCCTGGGACCAGCCTTATCTTTCTCAGTCACCGTGGTACCCCAGTGGCTTCATGATGCCTACTATACAGAAGGTGCTCAATAGGCATTTGGTTGAGTGAGTGCGTGCGTGAGTGCTTTGCTTCAAATAATGTCCATGGCAGACATGATCTTCAAGGGTTTAACCTGCTTGGGGTCAGGGCTCCAGATCCTGGGCTCAGAGCTGGTGGTGGACAAAAACAACAGCAGTCTGTATCAGGGATTAGTTTTTTTTTGCCACCAAATAGTGTCCCATTATATGAGTATACATGCTTTATCCATTGACAATCATTTAGATTGTTTCCAGTTTTGTCTATTATTTATAAAGTTGCTATGAACATTCTTTGTTCAAGTCTTTGGTGGACACGTATTTTCGTTTCTCTTGCGTAGATACCAAGAAGTGAAATTGCTGAGTCAGATAGTAGTTTATATTAAAAAATTTTTTTTGAGAGTTTTTTTTCGCTATAGGGCGCGTGCGCTCGCCAGACAGACAGACAGAGACACAGAGATAGAAAGCGAAAAATCACCCCCCAGGGGGGATGGCCACACCGCAATCCCTTCTCCTCCATTCTCCTCTCGCGATCTTGGGCATGCACACATATGTGCCCAGCGTGAGTTCTAAGCCACCGGGTCTGAGACGTGAACCACGGTCGACTATGTGGGAGTCCAACGATATAGCCATTATGCTAACTGCTAGTTCCCCTACATTTAAAATTTTAAAAAGGAATTATTTAATTTTATTTGTTATTATTATTATTTTTTATTGGTTAAAGAGCACATATACTCACCCAGAGAGAGACAGAGAGAGAGAGGGAAAGAAAGCAAGTAAGCCACCAGGTCTGGGACTTGAATCCCTGTCAGCCATGTAGGAGTTCAGTACCTTAACTGCCATGCCACCTGCTAGCTCCTAATCCTTTTTTAAAGAACTATTTTTATTTCACTTTATTTTATCCATTTATTTACTTATTTATTTATTTATTTTAATTTTTACCAGAGAGGGATAGAGTGAGAAAGTGAGAAAGCAAGCTACCCATTCTGGGACTCAAACCATGGTCGTCTGTGTGGAAGTCCAACACCCTTAACCACCACTCCACCTGCTTTTAATGTTTGCTACAGGGCGCCTGTGTTCACCAGAGAGAAAGAAAGAAAGAGAGAGAGAAAGTGGGGGGAATATAGAAATCACCTCTCAGAGGGGATGGCCATGTTGCAATCCCTTCTCCTCCATTCTCCTGCATACATACCTGCCGTGTTTTTCAAGCCACTAGGTCCAGGACTCGAACCACATAGTCAGCCATATGGTATCCAGCTGCCTTAACCACTTTGCCTTCTCCTGGTCCCTGCCTTTCTCTTAGTAATCTGCTCTTATCTGTGATTTTTCAGTGAAACACAGAAACAAATTCCTTTGCCCTGGTCACAAAGCCAAGGGCCTGAAGCATGCAGGACACCTCAGGCTGTTGTGATCAGAAGAAAAGAGCAAGAGGTTGGTGTGAGGGTCGGTGGCAAAAGTGGTTGGGGACTAAACACTAGTCTGATCCCTAGTCTGTGGACAGAGGGCACGTCCCTTTGCCCTTCCGCCTGGACTCTCCCTGAGTCAGGCCCTGGCAGGGATAGAGGAACTCCCAGGGATTGGCTTCTGGAATGGAGCCACTCTGGCTAATGGGTGAGCC